ACTGATTGCGGATCTGTTTGTAGGTCCCCAGGATGACGAGAAGAAACCTACAGCATCCGATACATTAGTTGATATTGCCCGAGCGACCAAGTTCACGTGCCTCGTGTAAGAGGTGGCGATCTTTGAGGTATGCCACTGTTGGACATCCTCTTCGCTGCAAAGCCCTCGAATGGATGCAGCTATCGTGATGGCAGCCGAAAGTCCTCCTGTGAAAGCCAGATGCACGCCAGAGGAGAAGAATGGGTCAATGAACGCTTGATGATTGTCAATTGCGAGTATCACAAAACATCAGAAAAAATACCTCCAGAATCCCCCGCCAGGCGGAAATGATCCCTGGCGTAAAAGGAAGCCGAGTAACTAAAATCACTCGCAGATTTAACAGCGTCCAGTGTGCCGTTGTTTCGAAGAGTGCCATTTCCAATCAATCTGAGTGCTCCAGGAGCTCTGCGTAATTCTTCCTTATAATGAGCCAGAAGATTCGAACCGGATGTTCCCGAGGCCGCACGAGAAGCCTTCTTCTTGCGGTTGCTCGACTCTTGATCCATCACAATGCCCACAGATGTAGTCCCATCATGAAGAGGGATGAACCAGGCCCATCCAGACTCGTCTGCACACGTTCAGCTCAGCATGATGACTTTGGGTAGATTTCATACCTTCAAGTGCTTCGACCCAGATAGCATTCTGGCGAGTAGTATTTGGCATGTAAGACCCAGTTCCGGCCCAGTATCCCCAGCATGCGACGTTGTGGAGAGCCCGGTTATAGCGTCTGTTCTTGAGATACTTTGTGGACATGATCCCGTTCCTTCCTGATGCATCGACTAGGTAGTGGAAAAAGATTCGGCCCTGTATCCCGGTGCTTGCATTCCTCCAGTCGGCTGAAACAGGTCTTTCTCCATCGAAATGAATTTCGGCGACTCTTATGTTGTCGAACATGGTTGCCCCACACTTCGAAGCATGACGAAATAACAGATCGTCAAATTCTGATCGAATCTGCGAAATGGTGAGATAGAAAAAATGTTTCCGATATATCACGGACCACGTTCCAAGACCCATTGTTTGGGTTAAGCGCAATGAAATCTGTATCTGGAGCGAAGAATTAATGTTAACACGACGGTGAACGAGGGCGACCGAGGCTCACATCCTTCTCGCTTGAACTGGTTCAACTTGATCGCAGCACCGGGCTATAAGAAAGAAATCATTTAATGTACTGTATTCTGGTGCATTTAAAATCATCCGCACCTTAATTGTGAAGCCATAGTTCATGATAGATTCCTCTGCGTCAACAAATGCCAAGAATTGGCGGACCGACGGGAGCAAGCTCTCGCCTATATGGTATCTAGCACAATTGTGTCTTAGTGACCGTATATGCAGATGTCATATATCACAAATGCTGACCGAGGGAAGTTCGCAGCTTCGAGAAGAGTAACTTCAAAACCTTCTCGAGCTAAAACAGCAGCAGCATAACTTCCGGCGGGTCCATCGCCCACAACAAGTATTTCAGTCGAGGTTGGCTAGCCAATATTTCAGCCTTCGCAGCAGAAAAATCAACATATTAACCACTTACAAGTGATTGAATGGCCATTTTTATGAAGGGGAATGTATGAAAGGGACATATCGCTATACCTTTATATGTGGTATATCTTTTGTATAAATAAACTTTGGCACCACAGATTCCTGCCGGCCGAATAGGAAGCTAGGCCATCATCTCCACTAAGAGACGAGACAAGTGCACTGTCTTGGTCACTGTCCGTATCATGTTGCCTAGTTCAGTCAACCATTATTACCACCGAGATGATCTGGCTAGGTCAATACGCATGACCGACGGACAGAGCCAGGAACGGGCCCCAAATCGCCGTTTATGATTGCCTTTGTAAACTGTGAGTATGGCAGAGAAGGATCTCTTGCAGCCCATGACTTTACGGCAACAGGCTCTACTATTATATCACGTGATAATTTGATTCAGACTGCTCCCGGAAACGCCGGATCATTGATATTGTTCAATGTTTAAGGACTAGTCTTTCTCCGAGTCTAGTCAGGAGGCAACTGTGTCGGGTATGTAAACGGGACGGACGGTCCTTTCCAAATTTCCAGTATATACGAAATCATACTCCTCCGCGAAAGTTTGAAACCGAGTCTGGAGACTCTGGACCACGGCACTTTGACGTCATATGACAGGCACCCGACGACTACTATGGATGTTAACTTTGCAACTAGTATGGCGGTTCAGTTGCCTCCATACTGTATGATGGTGTCTGCCGCAAATATAAGTATGTTGGCAAAGATTCATCAGGAAACCGGCGAGAAGAAGGTTTTTATAGATATAAATGGCAAATTCAGATCACATGTTTACTGAGTTATACCTAAAGATAAAGCAAAAAATAATCACAGCATGATGGCATCGAAGGATAAGAATTTGCAAGAGAAAAATAATCCTGACGAAGATATACATCTCTCGCAATTGTGACATATGATAGATAAACTGTTGCAGGAAGTCCAGCTGCTCTCCAGAATAGTGGTCATCCTTTGCCTCAAATGAACTTCATGATGGCCGTTGGCAATGCCAACCAAGCAGCAATCATGCACTACAAAATACATGTAATGATGATACCAAATGATTGTCAGTCATAGTTGTGATATGTCTAAGATAATGTATTGCCAAACACGAGCAGTATGGTTACCTACTGTCTAAGCTGAACTTTGTGATGGATGTTTACATTGACAACGAATCAGTAATCATGAGTTGCAAAATCAACAGAATACTGATATCAATTGGTCGTGCTTCAAGCAGTATGGTTACCTACTGTCTAAGTTGGACTTTGTGATGGATGCTTACACTGACAACGAATCAGTAATCATGAGTTACAAAATCAACGGAATACTGATATCAATTGGTCGTGCTTCAAGCAGTATGGGTACCTACTGTCTAAGCTGGACTTTGTGATGGATGCTTACATTGACAACGAATCAGTAATCATGAGTTACAAAATCAACGGAATACTGATATCAATTGGTCGTGCTTCAAGCGGTATGGTTACCTACTGTCTAAGCTGGAATTTGTGATGGATGCTTACATTGACAACAAATCAATAATCATAAGTTACAAAATCAACGGAATACTGATATCAATTGGTCGTGCTTCATAGTTTTGCCAGTGACTTATATGTCCAAGATAATATATTGCCAAACACAAGCAGTGTGGTTACCTGCTGTCTAAGCTGGACTTTGCGATGGATGTTTAGTCGTGCCTCATAGTTTTGCCAGTGACTTGTCTAGCGCAACTTGAATGCCTTAGCAAATAAAAGCAGAACAGTCATTCACATAGTAAAGTTACAAACAAATCTACAGAGTATCCATCAAATATGTCACATTCAAGCTCTGGTATTGACCGAGGCTCGGATCATAAACGCTACGATTGCAGAGGTTGTGGTGGGCGTATAGTGCATGAGTCAAACTATCTACTGGACGGAAGCAAGAATAATGACCGCACTGCATGAAATGGATGGCAAGCGTTGCAAATGAGGTATCAGTCGGATTCAAGAGACTGACTGCAGACAGGAGTGACGGAACGCTGGGAGAGTGTGGCAAAAATTATGAAGTGCGCTACAGACGCGGGTAAGCGAACGAGAAAGGGATTCAAACATGAAAGATACGTGCCAATCATCACTCTAAGTAGAAGTAGCTACCCAGATTGCGGGTATCAAAAGTGGTATTGTCACTGTTCTGGTCTGTAAACAAAACGGGTCATAAGATACGACAATTTCAGGAGAGTACGAGCGACGTTTACTAGGTCGAAGGTGACGTCGATCCCCTTGTCATCGTAGTCCAAACCAGTAAGCGAATCCTCTCCTTCTGTATGACAAGGGACCTGGCACAGCACTCGTTGAGCAGGACAGTGAAGTGTTTGGTATTGAGCTGGAGCGTAGCAAAGACTGTCGAGTGAGCTCAATGAAGGTTTGCGTAGGAGAGACGCACATTTCAACACCATCGAGGGCATGATCATAGCGGAGAACAGTAGAAATAGTCCTGTACTTCGCGCCCGAGTCTAGGAGTCTGTCTCTCCCTAATAGAACGCGTTGGAAAACCGGTCCAGCCCTGTGCATGGACTTCGGTCATGCCCAAGCGAAATAGAGGTGGTGGTGGACCTACCCGCTTGAAAAACCGAGCTGCAGGCGAAGAGTTTAGCAGCACCGATAGCAGCACCTTAGTCGTGGGTTAGATAGGCAAACTAACAGAACCAAAGAACTTCCTTACCCTTTGTCCACTTGAACCGAGCAAGATGCCAGCAAGGAGTGTACAATTAGGGAGCACCTGAGTCGACGGGGCTTATTCGGTATTTTGGTTTCAAGGAGCATCGAGATGGTGGTCAATGCTAGATCCTCCGTCTGCACAAGCTCGTCGATGTCTTTATGGAGGAGGAAAACGTAGGGAAGGACTACAATAAGGTAACATCAGACGCTGAAGAGAATGTTGGCGTATCCTAGAAGAATTGATAGGCGTAATCAGACACAGGCGTTTGGAAGGAACAATTCGAGGACTGAGAGATGCGAAGACGGTAAATCCCTGAAGCGTAACGCCAAACAATGTGATGCAGGTGTTAAACCATACCAAGTGAGGATCAACGAGAACTGCCAGCGGACCGATTGCTGGTATCAGCGAACGTGTGGCAGTGCAACTAAATTTTTCGCCCTTTTAGTACATAAGTGGCAATGCATGGTACTAGTGCTATGTATAGTACTAGTGCTATAGCATTTGATTCTCTTCATCTTTCATCTTTGACATCAGCCTGAAATGCTACGAGAGATGGGATCCTTAGCGATTCGAAGCGATGTGAAATATTCGTTATCCGTTATCGTTATCATTATTATTATGTAGTAGTAGCATACTAGTATTACTATTCTATGTGTGCTATATAAAGTGTCTGTTAGATCTTGATTTGATTTGAAGGGTGATGCCAATGTTACATGAATGATTAGAGTGGGGAGTTGGTATGATGAGTGCTACTAGAATCTAGTGGGTAGTAGTAGTACTAGGACTGGTGTGTGATGGTATGTGTGGTGTTTGGTCATTACTACAGCCTGTGGTAGCACAAGTTCATCTCTAGAACATTTTGTTAGTTGTGCGATTGATGATTTGGAAAGAACTCACCCTCCGTAACACCGATCTCAATCGTTGCATGATGCGACCGAAACCGTCGGCACAGAAGCGCGCGAATTTCCTGATTGGACCTGGCGCTCGCGGAGCGGTGGCCGCCTCGGGTAATGAAGTCAGGCCCCGCGGCGGCGACGCGGTACTAAATACGTACCATGTTTGCCGCTAACACCTCCAGCTGGGTCTGCGAGATGTGAGTTTTGGGGCTGGATCACAGAGAAAGCACTTACACGACCACTGCCGATTTGAGGCCCGTATATGACGCGAGACATGTCTAACGTTTGAATGTTGGTCGATGCGATCGGGAAATCAGATTGGAATGCTTACCGTGAATATTCCTAATATGGATGTGTCGGTTGTTATTAGTCACTGATCGTGAATTGACAATAACGTACCAGGTAACAGTTGCACCAAACAAAGACAAACAATTTCGCTCAATGCCGGATTAATGCTCCCGCACGTTCTGCGCCTGATCAACTCTGGATGATTTAAGTTATTTATTGAACTCTCGATCTAAACTTTGAATTCGGTCGTATCTCCAAGAGTTAGTGGAGAATTGCCTCAGCATCGTTGGAGACTACAATCACTTATCTCAGAGCATACGTCACTATTACGAAGGTTGTCGCAGCCGCTTGCGATGAAGTCACAGATCAAGCCGAATCTATTATCCTGGCTCCGTAGTACTTCGACATGGTTGGACAATGGTCCAGATATCTCGACAGGACCAGAGCGTTTCCAGAACCTGACGCTGCGCGACAATACGAAGATAGGAACCTCGTCTCCTAGAGAGGATGGACGTGAGAGAGAGCCCAGCGTTGAGCGAACCTATTCAAAAACGGTGCGAACTTGATTTTTCCTGTCTCGGACGAGCTGAACAATCATTCAGGGGAGGTCAGCTCTCAGCCAATCTCACTCGGACCAACGAACTCCTTCGCAACTGGTCGCAAGACCCTAAAGATGTTCGACGAAGACTCGTGCACCAAAACCATGACACGTTTACCTTCTACTTTCATGCTGTATCCGCACATTTTCACGACTACGTCGATCCAATGAGCAATAAAATTCGAAGCTATTGTACTACACGTAGAATTTGCAAGGCAAACGATATCAAAAGTTTGAAATAACGACCCCATCAACTTGGCTTGAGGAAGTACGAAAGATCCATCTCAACATCACTGCTGGGCACTGGAAAGACGAATCGTGCATACGGGACTTCGAAATCGGAAGTTGACGAGACCACTATGGGCTCGAGATCCTGCAAGGTCTTCATCCGCTTCGTTCCCATCGCGTCCGTAATGAGTTTCGGGACTTTGTTCTTGGGATCCATAACCAAGACGTTTGACTCCCTGAATACATGTGACAATGAGTAAAGATCAAATTGACACGAAGGACTGACTGTAGTGAGGGCAGCTCACGCGCCACCTGGAAGAAGGGGGCGAAGCGGTCTGGATGCATATACATCTCGTCCAGGGCAGCTATAATTCTGGGATGTATCTCAGGCGCTTTCAAATTCGTCGAGTCAGACGGCATCTGCAGAGTAAATGCCTGATACATCTGATACAGAAGCACAATTTTCGTCATTGGTACGAGGAAGAATAAACCGAGGAAAAGCTTACGAGGGTAATCAGTACGCCAACGATTCCCTTTCGTAGATAACCCGTCCAAGTTTGAATGGCGTCGGGGTATAGATCTGCTAGTCTCGCATTGCCTTCAGCTAACTCGGCAATGGGTCGTAGTAATGCAGCCCAGAGGACCTCCCTGAAGGCTTGTGTTCTAATAAGGATGCAGATAGCTTCTTGTACCTGACGGATGAAAAGTCTTTAGCTCTGATTATGTAGCCTCCGTGGTCCCTTACCAGATTTTGGTCGTCTGAATTGAGCGAGACAATCAACTCAAGAATCTTCTGCATCTTACTATCCTCATCGGGCGCAAACCCAGCCAATACGGATGTGCTGCCTCGTGTGATTTTTCTAAGTTCTGAAGTTACGTCAATCTGGAAGTCCTGAAACTGCCCATAACACCTGAAGTGAGTGAAGGTACTTATACATCGGGACGAGCTTACCCGGTTGCGCAAGTACGACCATCTCACAATGGTCTGGCTCCCATCGTCGTTCACGATGATCACTGATCACGCCGTAAGGTAGTGACATTTAGAATCAGAGGCAGATACTCACGTGGCTCTTTACTTAGCTCATCATAAGTTTTTTGGTTAAAGCGGAGAGCTCTCAAGAAGCTCGTTGTAATCAACTGCCTGCAAACTGCCTCGGGAATAGAAAATGGGTTGACGGGCGTTCCGACAAGGAAACATCCGATGAAAAGGTATCTTGCCAATTTAATCGAGCGACCCCATGATGACGCAGCCAATAAGGGTTTGAGCGATAGTTTTTGATCTTTGTTGAGGGGATCGCCTCGGGTAGTGCGTATCCAAGGGAGGTCTGGGTGATGAGGCTGCGCCTCACTGAGGGACTCAGGGCTAGCCAGGGCCATGATATCGAAGATAGAGCTGTCGTCGTCCGGCAAAGTAGGTGTGGGTAAGATATCGAATACGGTAGGTTCTAAGATCGTAGGCTCATATTCGAAATCTAGGAACATCGTTTCGGAGAACGCAGCAGGAGGAGGGAATCCGTGTGGGTGTGTTGCTGGGGTAAACTGAACACCGAGCAGCTGATCAAGCTATGTAGTACGTGGTATGATGAGTCCGGTGATGGGCTAGTATTTGGGGGGTACTCACCAACCAGATGGGAGAGATGCCCCCATGTGAGTTGGGCGCGCAAAAGTCGGTCCTGCAATTATTGAGAAAAGCAGAACCGCCATTCTAGTACATTCATCTCAAATGTGGACTCAGCAGCATGATAGAGCTCTTACCTCTATCTCGTAGATAGAAAATCGTGTAGCGTCGTTTACAATAAGTAAAAATCCAACATGTCGCAGGATGTCATGGGGTGGATGCGTAAGAGCGAGATATTCTTCAGGCCACTGTAGACGAACACCATGAGATGAAACATTGACTCTAAGGACGATAACCTCACATATATAGGCGAGAGTTGATGCGCATGCCCAACGTATCCCATGAATAGGAATCGGCCAAACAGACCATGGAAAGGCTGTAAGACAAGAGTTAATTCAAGCATCTACCAATTGGCGATGGCGAACCTCCTCATTCTGCAGAAAGAGGCCATCAGCGATGATGAGGATTATCCGCAATGCATATTGTACTTACACTAACAGGTAGAAGTCTCAAAATTTGGTTGACCGCGTGCACATAGGTGTAGATAGGACCGGTTGTTGGCGCTGTTGTCAATTCCATCTTGTTAGGATGGAGGGACCAGGAAGATGGAGGGAAAAGTATCAAACGAGGCTCTAATAAGGATCCAGATGTGAATTTGTTACGCCCACTTGCTACTTCCAACCGCTGGGCATCATTGACGCCGCACAGGGATCAGCGAGGGCGTACCAGGAACCAAAGCAAATCAAGGGATTAATAATGTGACAAAGTTATGCCAGGGCGAATAGAGAGATTGGCAATGTGGCAAAGACGTGCCAGGGCAAGTCGAGGGATGGACAATGCGGCAGAGAAGTGCCAGGGCGAGTTGAGGGATTGGCAATGCAGCAGAGAGGTGCCAGGGCGAGTGGGAGGGATTGACAATGCGGCAGAGAAGTGCCAGGGCGAGTTGAGGGATTGGCAATGCAGCAGAGAAGCGCCAGGGCGAGTGGGAGGGATTGACAATGCGGCAGAGAAGTGCCAGGGCGAGTTGAGGGATTGGCAATGTAGTGACTGTGCGCAAAGAGGAATTCAAGGTATCCTAGAAACGACTGACGAAGAATGCAATTATGTTAATTCTCGTAATCAAAGGTATGGTTAATCGTAAACATCTCGTCCAACGCCTGGATAAGCGACTCTGTGCTGGCATCGAGTCCTTGATCGAAAAAACCAAGCTCCTCCGCGCCAACATAATCATGATCGTCGCCCTGTTCATCGTCATCATCATCGTCAGTAGGACCTCGCCGGTGCATGCTTTTGCTCAGCGTTTCCCTACTTTCCAAGGGTTCATGTACTGTCGCCTGCGTAATAGGACAGGGCCTTGGCTCATGTGAGTATACATGACCAACCCCGAGTCCATAATGGAAGCGCATCAGAGTGTCGCGATCAACAAAGCTAGTGTGTTCATAAGATTAGCGATCATTATCATCAGGGCATCTGAGTCCATTCACCTGTTAACATAATACTCGTGCCAGTCATTCTTGTCTCCTGCCAATGGGGAAACGCCACATTCACCCGGATTGCGTTGGCGTCGAGAAAAAGCCGGGACGATGTGACATGCTCTAAGAACGACTCCTGGATCCACGAAACCAAATGCATTCTCGTTTATGAGAGGCCTGAAGTGAACACGGCCCAGAGTACAGGCGTCCCACGCATGATCTTGCACAGATTCGTACCACCGAACAAAGAGAAATTCGATTCGGCGAGATTCGTAAACGTTCGCGAGGCGAACAACGTTGACATGATGTATGCCGATGACTTTTGCGTAACGATACTCACCGCCGTGCTCATCATCGTTTGGGTGTTTCAATAGCATGATGTTACAATGCGGAGTCCGTGGGTTCACGACGTCTTGAGCCCTTCGGACATCATAAGTGGTGTAGTTGAATCTTGCGAGATTGTGGTGATAAATTCGATGACGCTTAAAGAAGATGGAATTGCATTGGTCGTAACGATGCGGAAATCCAGCAGTTTCGGGCTCGAGGCGATCGAGGATATGCTCCTTCAACCGAGGAAGGAAATCCTGTGTGATATCTAAGCATAATGATTATCGAGTCAGAAGTTATTTACCCTCATAACCGGATCTCCCGCGTGGTCGCGAAGGTACTGACCAAGCTCGTCGTACGTCTTCTCGCTTTGGCCGATATGATGGTGTAGCTGGGGATTACTTGCCATTTCATGTGCCTCTACCCGAGGGCCTCTCTGTGATTGCCGTTGCTTGATACGGCGCAAGCGAGCCTCCCGGCGCTCGATCTGAGTCAGTTGGTGAACGTATGCCCTTCTATCAGTGCGATGGTATCTGCCTTTCGGCGTACGATGCTCTAGTTCTCCCTGGTGCAAATTGAGAAGATGAATGGACCGCAGTTTGGAACTTACCGGTTCGGTGCTGTATGAATCTGTTGTGCCAAAGTGACGGATGGAAGTGACGTAGTCCCCTAGCGCATGGAACTTGTAAGTGTGAATATTGAATGACTTCTTCCTCCGTGGCTGCTTCGGTCCAGGTACACCATGCGACTGGTCTAGACTCGCCTTTGCTATTTCTCTCCCTTTCCCTTTGTCCTTACCATTCTCGGCCCGTTTGGCCGCTTCCTTCGCCTGCCGGCGAGATCGCGCACCAACCTCACGATCAAGCTCCTGTGTTTGGTACGAAGCACACACCGTTTCTTTAAACAGACGAAACTGTTTGCCAAGATCAGTTGTTGTGTCGTCGAGAATCTTCAAGGTGAGGTCGGAGTGCATACGAAGTTTTGCGAGTCCATGCCAGTGCGACATAGTAAAAAGGAGATTAATAACAATCCTGTTGTGAGCGTCAGGGAACAGGCCATCGAAGACCGGGATAGAACACTCGGACAAAATCAGTCCGCGAAGGTGTATAAGAGTCATTCTGAGCACATACCTGTAGAAGGTCCTCGAAATTTCGTGCAGCCATGTTCGACATCTCGGAAGTATTGGAAGAAAATCGTCTGATAGTTGCCGGTCCAAACGGTGGGACCTGCCTATACCTGTTAAAGTTGAGCATTAGCCCGCTAAGTCATTGTAAGACAGATGTTTGGCGCACCTCCTGTCAACCTCGTGAATCAGGTCTTTGTTCAAGGTTGTAAGAATTCTTAGCAAATGGATTAGGAGCATCCGCCACACTCCAAGTTCAACCTCGTGAAGAAGATCGACAACCAACGCGATGAAGATATTGAATCCAAATGGACCCAGAGAGTCTGAAAACGCGTTCTAATCAAAGGTTAGCAAAGGTATGACGATAAACTGATATTTTTACCGTGTTCGGCACCCACGAATTAGACTTGAGAATGAACTCAACTGCTGCACTATCCACACCTAAATTGTCCTTGTAGATGAGATCTCGGGCGCTGGCAACTAGCTGACTTCTCGAGCTATCGGAACGCGCGAGAGTCGTACGCTGTTGCCTATCGCAACTCGTGCCCAGACAGTGAAGTTTATCCATTGGTATGAGACATCGTGAGCAAGGGCAACCTCCTAACTGTCGGATGGTAGCAACGAGGACCCTAGCTAAAATGAGAATCCAAGTCCTATAGACGAGCATCCACGACTCACTTTTCGGGATAGTCTGCAGAATAAGTAAAAACTCGTGGGTAAAATCTGCGTGCGATGCCATCGCAACAGAGAATCACGATCCCGTGTTCATAGGCCTCTAAGAATTCGTGATCGAGCAAGACTCTCCATTGAGCTTGAAACAATTCACGGTGACAGTGCGTCATGCACTCGCGACCAATTCCCTTGCCTTCGGTATAAGTCCCCGTAAAATCTTTGAATGAATCCGGAAGCTGCAAAGGCTGTGAGTTTCAATGCAGTTCAGAAAACTAATGGACAAACATCATACCTTTTGAAAGTAGGCTACATGATTGCCCAAATGACAGGACGGTCTACAACGGCGATACTTCGACTCGTTTCCGAAGTACATATACACCGGCCACAATTTGGCGTTACCGAATGTCGTTAGCTGCGTGGCATCGGACCAAAACATGAGTGCAGTTACCACGCGAGGTAAGTTACATCCTGCCTCTCCCGGAGATGCCTGAAGTTTGCGATGTGCGTCCATGAAGGCTGGCGAAGTGTACAATTCGCCCTGAATGTTCACTTCGTGTGGTAAATGGGGGGGGTGCCATCGTAGCTCATACGGTTCGTAATGAAAGTGTTCGTTGTCATGAACATTTGCCAGCTTCTCCCGGATAATTGACACAAGAGGACGATGGTGAAGGTCCGCTGCGATATAAGGTCGAACATCCGGCCGAGCTGTAGTCCGAGAGAAAGGCACTTTGATGACCACTGGCGTTTTGCGCCAACCTGCATCATCCTCCTCCCATTCGTCTTCTCCCTCATCATCGACGCTCGCACCTAATTGCGAGTTTATTTTGTCCCAATGCGTATGCTGGACATCACCAGGATCGAAATCTGGACGTCCAACAATATCGAGCAATTCCTTAAAGCTCTGGTGCGACTTCTGCACACTACCATTCCAGTACCAATGTCCGAGCTTGAAAGACGATTGGTTGGGGTATGGGTAAAATGTGTCGTGAGGCTCAGCGAGGCTATCCAGTCCTACTGGAGCAACAGTGGGGACAGAGCTAATATCTTGAAGCGTCGCGGCCTCTTCCGGGTCATGAGATGGGGGGGTTGAAGAAAAGAACTGGCGTACAAGTCCAAATATATTCCTGGCCGTGCGGAAAGGAGAGGATTGCAATGGCGTAGAAGTGGTGGTAGGCACGTCGGTGGAATTTGAGGGCGGGATAAATTCCTGTAGTGGGACAGCTTGGCTTGGAATGCTCGGGGGAGGTTGCGGGAGTATGTCCTCATACTGTCTATAGCGTAGTGGCATCCGAACGTCAACACGTCGGGTTCTGCGCTGCGCCAACGAAGAATCCTCGTTTATCTCTGCAGACGCTGCGCCAATATTGGCAGTGGATGTTGGAATGGGCATATTCCTCTGCAACGAAGAGCCTGCACGTGGCACTGACAGCGCCGGGTCAACGTTGTAAGAATCTGCGATCAGTGTCTCGTTGACCTGGTCAGAAGGCAAGGATATCGGTTGCGGACGGTGAAGCTGCGTGCTTGAAGATTCCATGCTGAGGTGTGCATCCAGCCGGGGCCGTTTTGCGGAGCCTAGGAGGTTCTTTGCCTTTGATAAAGCAGAAAACAGTCGTTTTTTGCCTTTTACACACGATCGCTGATGCTTGGTGTAGGCATTCTCCTGAGTGAACTCGCGCGTGCAAGTACACTTGAAAACCTTTGCTGATGAATGAGCGAGATGCATTCGGAACTGTCGAAAGTGAGCCCAGCTGCCAAAAACCAGATCAAATTAAAAGAACTCGCCTTTTTCCATCCAGGAACAATCAACATGACAAACCTAGGCGCTAGCAGTCATATTCTCACAGGTTAAAACCCTGGCAGCGCTCAGACTGGCGGACTTGGCGGGGCTGTCAGAGGGCGGACGGACTTTAACTGTAGCAGGAAATGGCTATGTGATAATAAAAATCTCATAAAGGGCGACGAACCCTTGTTGCACTGATCAACCCAATGGACCCATCTTCACCCTCTTCTACGATTACTGCCCCACCGGACTATCATGAAACCGCTTTGACGCTCGCCAGACTTGCTACGGAGGCTATGACTTGCAAATTTGCCCTCCTACATTACGACAGCGTGTCGAAAACGATGATCGAATGGTACTGGTGAGACGTCATCAAAATCTCGTACAAGTTTTGAGCGTTGACTTACCTCTAAAAATGCAGGCCAGACGATGAAGAGGGGAAAAAAGTTCCGCCGTCGAACTTCGAGAAGTACCGCGACGAACGCAAATTCCAATACCCGTGCTGCCTATGCGCCTTCAGCACCAGAAGAGAGGCTTACACAGAGGCAGCAGTGTACCCTTGGAGGGATAAGGCCACCAATAAACTTTATTGGAATGCAAGATGTACATCTGATACATGTGGGTATCGAGGTCAGCATTCCTTATTCCTGATGAGATTCCAAACTGAACATCACCCAGTGAAAATCGACATACACTATCATCGATCGTCTCTGGTTACCTTCATATACCCTCTTCGAGGTATGATTTTGCTTCATTGCGTCGCCATAGTTGTATTGATGGATTGTCCAGGAGAGCACGAGAAACCGTGCCTTATTCAACTGGAGTGGACCCGGAGGGAACAAAAAGACTTAATGGCGAAGCTCGACTCCTCTATTGGCGATGGCATTACGGCGACAGAGTTCCGCATTCTCTTTAGACATTGCAAGCTATGCAAGCGAGTCGGAGCAAGACCAGTAATGAACCACCACATCCTGGCATGTTCAGGAGGGGTGCAGAAGCAACGACTTAAGCAAAAGTCGAGACTATTCGTTATCGATGAAACTACTAAGTAGTGTTAGTGTGCTCTGTTTGTAGCAAAGTTCCGATTATTGCCTCGTTACGCCTCATGTTTGCGAGCTGAGTCTAAACTAGACCATATCGGTAAAATCCCGGTAGCAATACTTTTGTTGCTGACTCTTATGCATACCAAACCATTAACCATTATGACTTCTTCAGTTTGTAAAACGGCTCTTTCCCGAGGTCGCCAGCACATGTACAAGGCAAGTCATTTGTGCAGAGCATAATAATTCTGCCATCCGCAACTGTGGCAGCTCTTCAGGACCTCACAAAATCCCACAAGGCCATGCCCCTGCATGGGTGGAAAGGGTACGTGCCTCGTGTCCTCCTTCCAACCGTATCAGCTCACTCACACCCTAACAAATAGAATGCCGGAAAGCTGGCACCATGAATCCAGAGCCATATATGGATACGCTGACGCTGTTGTTCACACTGTTAGTATGCTTCTGGACAACTTGCAGTACAATCAGAGGATGTGAGAAGGTGATATAATGGGCTTTATCAATTCCTTGCGGGGCAGTGGTCCTTCAGCAGAACGTCACGGAACGATTACTAATACAATACCCTCGATTGTGAATCAAGTACGGAACAGTCTCGCTTTCGTGACTGCGCGTGGTGTTCACACTGTCAACTGTGCGTTTGTGTGAGGCATTCCTCGCGAACAAGCCTTTATCCGGATTTACACATGTTCGTCCATTCGTCTACGTCCCCGCGGGGGACATTAACCGACTTCTCGTCTCCGTGCATTGTCTCAAAATGAAACGGGAGGCTGAGAAGTGAATTGAAGCAATCGTCCGCGATCATCCTCAATACAAGGTCCGAACCTCGTCTGAAAAGTTTGAATTATACTACCTCGGTCATTGACTGAGAAGAAGATGTACTCCTGCCGTACTGCACGTGCTGCTTAGTACTGGACTTGTGCATATAGCGGGCGATACACGACTTAGTAGGCAATATCTCGACCGGAGATATGATTGCATGGTCCGACTAAAGCAAACAACGTTACGTTGCTCTAGAGTTAACGTTCAATGCTCAACTTCTGTTCATCATTGTTTGATGATTTAGATGATAAGTGGAACAAGAAACGCTTCAAGGAATAGAATTTGAAGAGATCGGGCACTCAGCACTCAGCTCATAAAGAGGTCTCCAAGTCAGGTACGGGATTTCTGGGACCAGGATTGGCCGTCATCGGCACAATTTTTAGGTATACCGATAATTATTTTGTGAGTTTGAAACTCGTGAAAGGGGATCAACCTCACTAACAATCATCATCATCACCGTACAGGAAAACACATTGCTCGTACTCGATGTACGAGCTCAAGCGCTCATGGACGATCTGTCACATCCATGTTGGCGTATGAGTTTGTGACCAGCCAGAATCGCAGATAGACCCGTGAGTGGCTATAGCAGGTAAAGACTCGACCTTAATGAAGGGCGAGCATGCCATCTCTAACGAGCGATTGAAGCTAGGTACGAAAATGGCAACACGATTAGCTGTATCGATACTCACATGTACTCACAGCTCAAGCGCTCACCCAGGGGCAGGAGCAGGGAGCACAGGTTTACAACGTTGCACGATCATCATGACGTCGTTGGCTCTCTAGAATCAGGCGAGCCTTTTGAATACCGGACTTCCAAATAAGACAACCCACGTTCCGATCGAGGATCGGTAGGCCCAACTAGAGTACGGCAGGTAAGCAGGCCATTTTAAATACTTATTTCATTTTCTGAGGGGCGACACGCTGGAGTAAAATTAAATTTTGATGCCCAGTGAGGTGAATCTGATGCCCTGCCGTCAAACAGCATCAAACAATTCGCTTAACAGTCAAATGAGAATCTTGAGATGCATCGGTTCACCCTTGTACATAATTACTACGACGTTTCACGATGTCGCCCTCCTGTCTTCCACCATTCAATTCCTCAGCTATTCGTACCGGCATGTCTGAACTTTCAAGTATACTCACCGATCCCGAATGGCTAGATTTTTACATAAGACTCATACCAACGGAGGCGGCCAGTCCATCTTTCTGAAATATCAATTTGCATGTCCTGAAGGTTTTCAATGCAGGTCCGGACTGAATTGTATCTGTTTTACTTCTTGCTCAAAGGTCGAGTCTATCTCGGTGATATTTGGCAAATCGTCGGGGAGCGTTTGCTGGAGGCGCAGAGGGAGGAATCGTTACGAAGTATGATCGGGGACAATACCGTGCGTGGGGTTGTAGAGCGAGCCTTCATGGAAGAGAAGAGAGACAGATGTCAGCTTGAAGTGTCTCTGTGCAGCCAGGCTATCGACTGTGTGCAACAGCGACGGATCATGCGTGAGATTCTTATATTTTAGCATGCGAATGAGTGATCTGACATTATGATACTACCTAGCAATGGCGCGCGCCATGCGCGCACCATTCCCGCGCTTCGCGATGTATACGCGCGCGCGCGTTCCTGCGCTTGCGCGCCCTATAGCGCCAGCCATTCAGATGCATCCATCCACTGTCCACCAAGCTTCCTAGTACGTATATTTCCATTTCCTTTATTAGCATAGTTCCACCTTTATTTTTATCATAGTTTCTCACTCATATATATCCTTACATACCTACTCGGTAGCGCTTCGGCTCCGCATGACCGCGCTTAGGTGCGCTATATAAGCGCCAGCAGTACATACTACACTTTACCTTACTTTTCCCTGGAACTTACTAGTTATCACCCACTATTTACTTAGCAGTACATAGTAGAAGTCTATTGGTCTACACTTTGCATCTATCTTTTCTTATATTGCTTTATATCATCACTTAAGCTTAGTCTCTTTTATTTCCGCTTACACGCGCGCGCTTTCCCGCGCTTCGCGCTAATACGCGCGCGCGTTCCCGCGCCTTCGTACCTTGCGCGCTGGTGTTGCAGTTCCAATCCTGCCCAATGTCAGCCTCTTCTCAGCAGCCTCAAGATGCGTTGCTAGACCTGCTGCGCCCTACTCACCAGCTACAGTGGCCTATCTGACAGCTGTGAAAAAGAAGTGCGAAGGTTGGCTCAATAGACAACAAGCCGGCCTCTCCCCAGCTAAAAGGTTTCCATCATTCAAATATTACTCGTGCTCAAACGGCTCTACTTCTTCGGTCGTTCACCAACCTACTACATTTGTGCATCGTCTAGAATGTCGAACGTCAGTCATAGTAAATGTGAGTACTGTCATCAATCTGCTTTGCTTGGCTGCGCTTACTATATGTTGAAGTCCATTGACCCCTCGTTCTGCCTGTTGAGCACGTGGGTTCCCCCTGAGGTCCAAGATACCTTGAATGAGGCACGCAAAAATGAGCTATCCGCTCAGGCTGCACTGATGGCGACGTACCTTGATATTGATGGCTACAATTCCCACCAGCGCAATACCGACTCGGAGCTGCTCTACTTGCGGGCGAAGATGCATCGCGCCAAAGCAGAAGTGGAAGTTTATGAACTAGCCATTGAAAATGCGCCTGCGTCCAACTCCCCTGACGGTGGTGTGCCTGTGTTCTCTTCGCATGCTAATGCCCCTGCAACTTCATCATCATTACGCCCAAACCTACCACCACTTCTACCCGAGGACGTTTGTCGCTACAAGGAATATATCAATGCTGAATCGCTGGGCGACGGCTCTTCGGAGTATTCATTGTGATGGTCCTTACACTTAGGATTTAGGTGTTGGGCTGGGTACACGTATTTTTATATGTTTCCGTGTACCATCATTGACATTGTAAAATTACGTGTAGATTCGTTTAACTTCATATCACGCGACAGCAGATTACACACGGGGGGCCCTGGAGTTTATCATTATTTGAGAGTGCTTTGTATGTTGTACAAAATGTGATATCAAGCCCGGTGAAAATCGACAAGTAACAGGCCGATATGTGGGCTGACGTAGAAAGAGATAGATGAAATCTTAGAAATTTGCGAGGTTTGGATGTCAGACTTAGAAAAATTCTGCAAAATTTTGGCACTGTGTGCCAATCGTGTTTACTCAGTGCGGTTGAACCACGCGCATCTTCTCATCTGACCACCATGTCATTCGATCACACCGCGACCCCGGCTCAATACGCAAGAGAGCACTTAGTAAAGTTGTTGTCAGAGAGTCCTGTACCCTGATGCTCTCCGTTATGGTATCGGCAAGTACAGAAGATTCTGATTTAGGTCAGCTCAAGCTACACAAGATGTTTAACACCCAGATGTGGTCTGCGCGACTTGAGTCTCGCATTCTCCTATTCTTTTACATAGATGAGTCTGTGTTTCCAATATCTAGTTCGGAGTCAGATGATCAGACTTTGTGACATCAGCAGCGAAATTCATTCTCAACCCATCGACAGTCAGCAACTCATGTACTTGAACATGGGTGAAGTAGTGGGCAGGTCGAGTGATGAATAGAGGAGGATGAGGACTGCCGGAGTTCAGAGGGGGTTGTATTATATCAAATCAACATGCATGCCGCATCTGCAAACCAGAAAACACCAACATCAAAAACAGATTCTATTGGTCATTCGTACTATAACTTTTTCTCTATCTTTTCCGGTACGCTATTCCCCAGGACAGCTCGCAAAGCGCCACGTCCCAACAATTTCGTTTATTGCGGATGAAAAGCAAGCCACCACTCAGGACCGCACTTGCACAGACACCATTTGCAAAGCCGAGTCTTCCATTGGTAAGATTATTGAGCATGACGGGGTGCGAGATTGCACCCAGAGAGCTCCCCGTGGCGACAATTCCCATCTCAAAAGCCCTGCGTCGCTGGAAGTGATGCGATACTACAGCGAAGGAGGGAACATTCGTAAGGCCTATTGCAATACTAAAACCGATGCCTTGGGAAAGGAATATCTACACACATAGCAATACAGTCAGCGAAGTTGCGCATTAACAGAAACGGGACTTGCTTGATAATACTGATCTGGTTTCGCCAGGGACAATATAAAGAGGAAGGAGCATTGGGAGGAGATAGCCGATTTTCATCACAGGGTAACTGAAAATGTATGATCAGAGATGTCTTTATGGGGACTTCTTGCACACATACAATGCGCCTCGGTCGACCATCCTTCCTGATACGATGCCAACTGATAATGCCAAGAACGCATTAACACTTCCTACCCAGCTACACCGCAGTAGAGGTCAGAAACACTAACAGCCAAGAAACTACCTAAACAGATCTAGAGCTCACTGACGCGATTGCAGATGGTGTGGAATTGGTTAGGTATGTTTGAGCATAAAAGTCTGCATATCGTGGTTGTCAGTCCGTCCACGTAAGATAATCCACACATATACTTGCCCTGGAAGACACCGTAAGCGTTGCCATGTCTGGAACGTGTTATTAGTTTGGGCCCACAAATGCAAAGTCCAATTTACCCAAAGCCACAGAATTGAATCAACACACTTAACGGTCGCAGTTCATGGTGAGTATGCAATGATCAATAGGTGGACAGAAGCACTTACGCGCCCAGCACTGTGCCCCAAGCGGTGAAACCACCTTCGGGAAAACTTAGCGCATCCGAGGGGTCGACAAGGCTGGTATTTCCAACGGATTTCGAGACGCTCTCGGGAGCTTTCTTTGCAATCTCATCACTGGATGAAGGTGTGGACATGGGCAATGAGGGCCAATTGAGCGATGGATGGGGCATGCATGGTATCCTATAATAGAGTTTAAAATATGAATTTGATCCGGACCGACCAGGAGGCTTGTAAGAATATATATGGGATTTTGTTTGGCTTTAATAATTTTCGAGTTCTCATGTGCCTTTTAGCATCTGAACCATCCTCTTTGCATTTTCCGTCAGTTAGTCATCGATATCTTTGCGTACTCGCCAGCAAATCCATGCAAAGAGATAATTCGTATGTAACAGAAGTAGCAGATATAATCGTAGCTGTCTGCATATTCACTTTAGAAGGACTCGGTTTCCTCACCGAGGGCATGCGATCTCCAAACACTGCATGACAAAATCAAATGGTTATGGGTGCAACTATGTGCGTATCGTTATCCCGTCTTATCCATCCAGTGCTCATCTAATTTCTTCCATAAGGTACCTGCAAAAACGAGCCGCGGAGCACATACCTCCGATTTTAGGCCATGGCCCAAGAAAGCGCTCTATGGACTACCCACAGGCTTTTGTGTACCAACCTACCCCATCGCGAAAAACACTGTCTTGACATTCTGAAGAAGAAACCAAACTTTTTGACTGCGACTTGTTCGCCTTGGTATCCTGAGACACAAGTCGATTCTATCGCGTGTGAGGTCACAGCCTTCCTCTTTCAATGACCGTCGCATATTTTACCAGGTGTTTCCATGCTTTAAACAATGTTTTTAGAGCACAAGTATGGAGGGCCGTAACCCAAGCTGTGCCCACCTAGAGAAAATTGGCGTGAGAAGACCATCGAAGTAGGGATGAAGACTGAAGAGGGGATTGACGAGAGGTCCGGAGTGGGTGATATTCTTTGTCTTCCCGCTATACGGTTGATCATCCTCCAATAAAGCTGGTTTGATCGGGTCAAGGTTGACTACCACACGTTTGAGCCACCCGATGAGGATGCTTTCGGTCAGGTATTCGAATATAGAGGTCTGTCGCCAACAAGTCTCTCGACGAACGTACCCAATGATATAGATGGCTTACAGGCACATCCCATATAGCTATGTTGAGACTAGTCAGTACTCTCAGTCACGGAGTCAAGTGGATGTGCCCCTCCAAATCGCGGACAAAAGTAGCATGTGGTCCAATGGCCCTCGCACCTGCTCGTCGCGCTCGCCCAACGAACAGTCTTCGATGCCATCCAGGGACTCAAAAAAGTATCAAACAGTCTTTCAACCTCCACCTGTCTCAACCACGTACAACAAATCGTTAACCCTGATATTATCTGGCAATTTCTGAAGATCGCACTGCAGCGCGTCAAGGTGAGTATGGACAAGGGGCGTGAAAGTATTCGCAAGGCCGATAACGATCACGCTAGGACTATATTCATGAGCGCTGCAGAGCTTTCTGCTGCCCTGGTTGCTTTTGACGACCACACGCAGGGTCAGTATTGGAAGGAAGTGCTAGGGGCGAGAACGGAACTTGCATTGACGCTAGGCAACGCGACTGAGATGGCCATGCGAGAGAAGCACTGGCAGCAGGCATTTTATTTCGGACCCGGTGCTGAGAACATTCCAGCCATCGAGCATTTGGATGCCAATATTATTGCGGAAAATGAGCGGCACGTCGAGCAAGCGAGGATTGCGAATTTTGCAAAATAAAAGCCATCTAGCATTAACATGTGAGTGAGTTTATTCGCGTTCCTTTGCGAGTGATTCACTGAGTTCAGGAAGCTCACCCAGGGACTAGCTGGCCTTTTGTAGAATAATTCCACGCTACAATGGAAACCTGAGAAAAGGTCGTGAACAGGGTGTTGAGAGTAATGTATTGATGCATGCTTCGGCTTTGCGAGCCTGTAAAACTCAGACAGCACCAAGTCGTGCTCCGACAACACTGGGCTTGCGTTTAAGCTTCTCACTAGTGGGAGGTTCTGGTAAGGCTTGCGAGGAGTCTGACTTAGCATCCTTCGGTTTTGGCTTTGGAGCCGGTACACCTGTGATAATTGAGGACCTCGAAGTTGACGTATCTTTCTGGTATAAATTATAAAAAGCAAAAGGTACTTATTTCTCAGTCGAGAGCGGGCCATGCGCTTATGTAAGCGTAGAAATATTCATATGTAATCATGTACGCTGACCAGAATTCTAAATAAAGTAATAGCAAGCGCAAAGAGTCACTCACACGCAACCACCACGCAACAACCCGCTTGACAAGTCCACAAGCTGAATAACATGGTACGCTGAATTATTCCGACACGCACAGTTCTAAGGCAGCTATAATATTCTAGGCAAGAGGTTCTCAGCAACAGCTGACAAAGTTGCTGCAACGTGGGATTGGTATCTGGCCGACGCAACTTCCACGCTATGCTGAAGTTGTAATGCTGTGAGTACCCATTAGCTAATACTTGAATTGGAATAACGTTTTCTGCATATTATAAGCGCAGATAATGGATATGAGGATACCTCAGTCCGTGTAAAGGAGATCGATAACCCTCCGTAGGTCGCCTTTGTTATCACTTGATAGTCTCGATTAACGCTATCAACAGGCCCGCAACGTACGGAAATTGGCAGGAGTTAGTCCACCCGTTGGGTGGTACATACTATCATCACAATACAAAGGTGAGTGACGGCCGGTTGTATAGGTGATGCGCTCAAATGAAAACTTAGAATGCGCTCACGCCAATGAATCTGAGGCTTTATCTAGATTTACACAGTCTCGAGGATTTTATCGATGCGTCGCGAGCTGCTGCGAACGAAGATAGATGGACACTTGTCGTTCTTCCAACGATCTTCATGGGAGAAGAACGATTTCAATACTACTACGTGGTCCCCGACCATAACATTATTGCTTGGCTAGAAGATTTGAATGGCGAACTGCTATTCGGAGAATGCATTCAGCCAAGCGAATGGCGACACAAGAGTATGTTATTGCCTTTGTCTTTTCTCAATTTTGATTTTGATGACATAGGACTCGAACTCGAGGCTCAATACTGGTAAGCGGCCGATGTTACCCTGATGGACTGAGCGTTTATCACTGCTCAGCAGGAAACACTACGAATTTTTTCCGCATCAGTTCCAAATGGAAACTTCACAAGTGAGACGTATACGTAGAGAACTTGTTTGCTACATTGGAGGTAAGCCTCTAACGCTGCACCAACTGCCAAAATCACCCAAGCACAAAACAGAAGCCACAACTTTGGGCCAATCCTCTGCCGCTTCGATATTCTGGACTTTTGACCAGATGAATCAGATTGGTGCACATCTGGCCACCATTGGTACGTTCTCGTGTCTGCGCTGCATATCATCTTGACGACCCAGAAACAGAAGGTCTTGCCGATAATGGGATTGTAGAGGAAACTGGTGTGGTATTTTGTTGTACGTGAGCATAGGAACGCTGGGCCTTTCAAACACTGATTTCCCTTCTAACAGGCAGGATATCGTACATCCTACGTACGTGGTTCTCATAATCAGACATCATTAACTTATCAGACTGCGTAGGGCATCACCAGTTTCTGAACCGCCACAACCAACCTGAAGCTCGACTCATTCGAACTCATGCGGTGAGAGAGAAGCACAGGAGGTGTAAACTTCTTGTTTTCATAGGCAACGCTGCAGCTATGGTACTATGCATGCCGATCACTATTGATCGCATCAGGAGTACTTCCGTTGATGGTATCTTAAACGGGGTAGAAGTTAATTCATTCATCGACGATTTCAGCAGTCAAGCGAAAGGTCAAATTACCCTGGTGAGTGCTATGTAAATGAGAATACCTCCCTATTTATTTTTCGCCTGACAGGCAGGAGTCTCTATGGCCCTGGATATCACCATCCTTGCCATTCCGGGTCTAGGCACGACGCAGACTTCACAAACTATGTGCTCCTGCTCTTTACTCTTAGGTGTGGGTTGTATCTTCGCGGGCACAATGGTGCAACACTTTGGCCAAAGAATGAGATCCATGGACTTCGCGGTTCGAGTTACACCATCTTTCTGTAGCCTAAGCCTGACCTTACCAATCTCACAGTCATATTACCTGCGACACAAGACGAAGATGTTTATTGTCATTACAGGCATACCGACTTCTTTTTGCGTACTGAGGTAAGCAAACTTTGATCATAATTGCTTGCGTCTCTCATAGAATTACCGGCAGTGTGGCGGGTTCCATTCTTGGGTTTCTCGCGGGTGTCGCCACAGACTTCAAGCCCTCCGCACCGTTGATGATTGCATCTCTTATTACACTCGGCGTTGTGGTGGGTTCGTTGATTGTTTTGGTGCTTGCTAGTTATGGCCCAGGGCCAGCTAGGATACGACCCCAATGATATCCTTGTCTGGATATTCTGGAGGATATTCTCCAGAGAGAGTACGCCAAATATATGTTTGGGAAAACGTACTCGTATGTGCTGCACGAGTGCTCTCAGTCTAGTTCCTCAAACTACAGCTGTACTGTATCTCTTTGCTCGCGACGAGGTCTATGGTATCCTGCTCATTTGCACAGAGCACAAATATCTATATTTTGCTATCATAACTCTGCATCACAACAGCAAGGATCAACGACGCTAGAAAGACGGAGTCATTGGCGTCCTATGCACAACAACAATAGTTTTACACAGGTAATGTTACGATATGTCTTCTCTCACTATGTCTCCAAAATCGTATCCGTCATCGCCTAAGTAAGTAGTCAGTTTATTTGAGGAAATGTTGCATCTGACATACTTTGAATGGGGGAAGGGGCGTCCCACTCAATCTGACGAGGAGGGTATGTGCTGATTCCGGTCGGTGCATATTCCTCCAAGATTTTTGCTCGATGATGTTCCTCCAGCCAACGCAATCTGTATGTTTGGTACTGCTCTTGAAGTCTTGAGCAGCCCAATTCTGCGAGTCGTAGTTGTTCCTTCAGCTTGGTTATCGACTCTTCCTCTCGCCTTTCATAATTGTACTCCGGCAGATGAGGAGGAGCCTCTTCTTTCTCTGTTGAGGGCAAGCCCTTCTCGATATCCGCCTTTCTGTTGTGATATCAGCTTTGAGAATCGACGATGATTGTGCCCACGCACCCTATGCCAGAAAGCCCCTCATGCTCACTCCTTCGGTTGGCATCGCCTACTATTTCGATCCTAAGAAACAGAGTTAGCAAGTCCTACCGCAAGTAGGTTCAGCTGGGTTTACTGGAGATTCAAACTAATGATATTCCCAGACAGATTAAACATCTGAGTTTGACGCAAGGACTGTTGCATCCTTGGGTGAACTTAGGCGGCCGTATTCTCCGGTTGTGATATGCAAGAAAATCCAACGGCAAGGGAGATTTTTTCAGACTCATCAATTTGCTAATGCTTTCTGTAAGGTGCAAGTTCATCGCCACCGATTTCATGAAGGGTAATTCAGTCCCGGTGGGAGCCATCTTGTGTCCCCGTCCAGTTATCCCCTGGCTAGCGGCCAGCGCCACGGCCAGCAATTAGCGGGTAATCATGTTATTCCCTGCCTGCGCCATCAGCCACGCCCTTTACATGAAACGGCCAGCAATTAGCGGGTAATCATGTTATTCCCTGCCTGTGCCATCAGGCACGCCCTTTACATGAAATCCCACGCGACTCAGTGCTGGAGATAAAAAGCTGGTTTCTATCCCTTGCGAAGCCCAAGCTATCTTTTCCTCCTCGCGCCAGCTCTCATGACCACCGGAGACACCACCTCCAGCGTTCCGAGCAAACGCGCTACATCAGCTCTTCAAATGGGGCCCCGCAAAAAAGGGTGAGTTGTCCCTAATGTTTGGGACAAATTTTCCAGACTTATCCCGCCGCCCAGCTCTTTATCAGACCCCCTTATATCACATGGGCGTCACTTTGGTCGAACTGTGTTCGCGCTGTGCAACTACCCTTCTCTACTGACCAATGGTATCCTTAGATTGGAACAAATGGAAGAAACTCCTCTGGAAGACTTCTCTGCCGAGTGAAAAGGCATCATCTTCATTTGCTAGTTCATGGACTGACTCGTTTGGCAGAGAACGACGAGAGCATCGCGTTTTCGAACAGCTTTTGGACTCTTATCCTGGCCTGTTAGAGCGACTTAGGAACGGATCCGAAGAAGAAATTTTGCATGTTGGAGAACTAGTGCGTTGTTTCTTACGTTGCCGGAGTTCATACTTACAATTTTAAGATTGGTAAGGGAGCGTCAGGCGCGAGAGGTGACGACACTAAATCATTGAAACCTGCAATACTCGATTGGATCTCCCCAAAAGGAGCAGCGATCCAGCCTCCGTTACATAGGAATTCGAAGATCGATCGAGGATTTAACCATGAACTTACCGGGTCATTACTTTGCCCCGCTGGGTTGAACTGGCACGACGCAGAGTATGTTTTCATTTTCTGGCATCTACAGTCCTAACAACTCGAAATAGGACGAGAGAGAACCTTCGCAGTGGCGAAATCTTGGTCTGCGGAGATCAATGGCCCGTTTTTTTGTATGCTCACCATACCTATGACGCGGAGGACCCATGGTGCGGTCTCCTCAGGAGTCGCTTGCTGACATGTGTAAGTGGGCACGCACAAATTCTACGTAGTCCTTCACTATATCATTTTCAGGCTTACAAGCATGTATTCACATCCCCGAGTTCGGTCGACAAAGACCCAAAAGCCACGCGATCTGGAAATGCTCGGCTTCATGGCATGAACCGCGTCACCGTTGCCTCCATAGCTTACATTGCTACTCAGGTTCGTAATAGCATATCTTTATAGCTCGATAATCTTGACGTACACACAACTCCAGGTCCGATTTGCCCTAAGCTCATCCTCGGTATTCTCACGAACCGACACATCCACAGACTCTGAGACATTTTACCACAGCCTCCTTGACCTTTTCGAAGACCCGGACGAATCCAAGGAAGTCGACGAGCTACTGACATGGTGGAATCGGTATTATTTTAACTCTTCGACATTTCGCTGAGCTCATTACTATGTACCCAGCCAGGTTTTCCCTACATCCTCTGCAGCTAAACGGCCTATTAGCGCCAATAGTGCCTTATCCAAAATCCGAATCAAACGCCTTGCGGCCAAAAACACCTCTGATTCAAATGTAACTGTAGCCTCCACATAGTCTTCGTTTAAGCACTTTATTATGTACTAAATACAAACACAACCTAATACCAATATGTTTTGGCCCTCGCAACCAAGTTAACATGCTGAAGAGAACAAAAATAACAGAGTCTGTGGGGAAAGCACAAGCTCACTTAAATTGCAATGGATGGCCAGACCTCGGCGGTTGCTGCAGTATGGTACTGCAATACCATCGCTCCGCACGCTCGAGTCGAAGGCCGCTCGAACCGAGACAGCCTGCCCTTGTAAGATATCACCTGGCGTCGGCATCTATGGAGAGTTTGCGGAGACAGCACAAACTCGCTCACCTTGCAACGGATGGCCAGACCTCGGCGGTTGCTGCAGTATGGTACTGCAATACCATCGCTCCGCACGCTCGAGTCGAAGGCCGCTCGAACCGAGACAGCCTGCCCTTGTAAGATATCACCTGGCGTCGGCATCTATGGAGAGTTTGCGGAGACAGCACAAACTCGCTCACCTTGCAACGGATGGCCAGACCTCGGCGGTTGCTGCAGTATGGTACTGCAATACCATCGCTCCGCACGCTCGAGTCGAAGGCCGCTCGAACCGAGACAGCCTGCCCTTGTAAGATATCACCTGGCGTCGGCATCTATGGAGAGTTTGCGGAGACAGCACAAACTCGCTCACCTTGCAACGGATGGCCAGACCTCGGCGGTTGCTGCAGTATGGTAATGCAATACCATCGCTCCGCACGCTCGAGTCGAAGGCCGCTCGAACCGAGACAGCCTGCCCTTGTAAGAGATCACCTGGCACCGGCATCTATGGAGACTTTTCAGAGACAGCACAAACTCGCTCACCTTGCAACGGATGGCCAGACCTCGGCGGTTGCTGCAGTATGGTAATGCAATACCATCGCTCCGCACGCTCGAGTCGAAGGCCGCTCGAACCGAGACAGCCTGCCCTTGTGAGATATCACCTGGCGTCGACATCCATGGAGAGTTTGCGGAGACAGCACAAACTCGCTCACCTTGCAACTGATGACCAGACCTCGGCGGTTGCTGCAGTACGGTACCGCAATACCATCGCTCCGCACCCTTGAGTCGAAGGCCGCTCGAGCCGAGACAGCCTACTCTTGTAAGACATTATTCGGCGCTGGCAATTATGGAGTCTCTGTGCAGGACAAAATAGTAAGCCAACATTATATACGATGAACATATGTCGTCAAGATTGGGAAGGATGACAGCACACTGTCATTGGTTACTCACATTGTGTACTCAGCGAAGTTATCCCATCCAATCTAGCGTTATAACTATATATTCCACAGCAACGATGAGGAAGGCTTTGTCGAGATTACGATGGCTTGCATGCGACAGCCATATTGAGACAACATGGTAACGCACTATCATGGTTCCACATCCTTGGACACTTGGCAGCATTGATCCCACGTAGTCCAGCCATATATAGCTTTATCTGACGTTCGCGTTCATCTAGAGATTGTGAAGAAAAAATAAAATGCCGAAAGTTACATGCCATGACCAGGGCAGGGCAAAATTGTAGTGTACGACAAGTAATACTCAACTAGGTGATTGTGCGGTATTTTAACAACATAATATTCCTTTGTCATGCTGGTGGGTGTTACAATATAGGCCATCTTGATGATCAGCTGGTAGATAAATGTAATAAAACCGTCACAAATGTGTATTTGGCGGGTTGTATCCAACTTAGTCCAGGTATACAAAGCTTTCTCAAACGAAATACAATTATGATGCATATTATACAAATTGTACTTCAGATAAAGCTTTCTCAAATTTTATCATTTTCGCGTCGGTTTCCTGATGCTTTCTCACAGCCGTGACAAGTTGGCTGATAAATTGACTGGTCTGATTCTAGAAGAATACCTGTACCGCCATCGACGAATGTTCAATCCTCCCAACCGAACAGAGAGGTCCTCGTGCCGTCACATCTTCCTGGTAGAACTTTGAACGAACATGGAAGTGCCAGGGCGTGGTAGCCTGACGCTGCTGGGAAACCAATAGTTGTCTCGTACCGCCGCATCGATGCTCATTCCTGGCGAGCGACAATGAACAACTTGAATGACGTCAAGTCCTTTTGCAAATTGCAATGAAAGCTCTAGTGGAGTGTTGGATCTTGTTACAGCCTGAGTGGCTCATCATGAGGCGGTTGGTTGCGATTGGGGTACATCGGTATCGAAACACTTATACGATTCATGGGTACCTGTGGCGCGAAAATTACACACAAATGATTCCACGATCACAATTTTTAGCAATCAACTCATTCCCATCTTGTCCTACTAACCCCCAAAAATGACAAACAGAATGAATAGCAGCGTGTAAGATTTGTTCTTGCGTTTGACATGGCTCTCCACATAATTGAAAGCCAGCAGGTTCAGTTTGTACGATTTAAGCGTACTCTCCGATGAATTCATGTCCTGTGTGACACTGCAAGACGGCTGTAAACTTCGCGAGAGGTATGGTGATGTGTTTGCGGGATTTGAGAGTGACTCAGTGTTGGTGGAAGTCTATAGTACGCGAGGGCAAAACGCCACTGCCACATCTCTGTTCCAACTCTTCCTCCAGTAGTGCCTCTGTGTAGGTTAAGTGCACTGCATCATCCCCTGCCATCAGTGTCCACTGTGAAGATCAACTTCTGCGCGAGAGATGGTACTGATTTTAATTTGGAGTGCATGTGTGAGGCTGTCGCAGTCAACAGCCGACACTAACAGACAACAGGCAACAAGTACGTGGATGAGCGTATGGGATTGAGCGGTATGGTAAGAGATAAGATACGAACAAAGGGGCAAGCAGCTCTATATACTATACGGTGCAAACACCGAACAAACAAAAGACGGTGTCCAATCAAGATGCGATTCTGTCACGTGTCGTAAGCCTCAGGGCTTACACTCTTCCCCATCATCTTTTTGATCTTTCTTCCTCCCAGACGTCCAGCGCTTCACAATCCTCAACATCCCGCCATGATAGCCATTCATCATCCGCTTTGCCAAACCCAACCCAGCGAACCAAATATTTCTTTCCGCGTCCCACCTTTCTCTCATCAACGATCCGTTCAATGAAGTTCTCGTGCTGACCGTCTTCCGTCACGACCGGCCCTGGTCGAGGTTGTTCGCGAGATGGGAAGAGGTCTGCGTCGTTCTGGCGATAGGGACGCAATTGACTGATATGAAATGTTGGGAATATGTTTGGCGAATTTGGCAGGTCCAATGTGTACGTAGATGTTTCTGGATGTGTGTCGAGCACGAGGTACGGTCCGTCGTACCTGGGCATAAACTTGGCCACCCTCTTGTCTCCTTTCTGGATATATTCGCGTCTGCGATGCTTCGTGGCCAGCAACACACGGTCTCCAATCTTGAAGGTTATTGTAGGTGCGCGGCTCTTGTTAACATGGGTCGCTTGCGAGGCTTTGGCCGCAAGCAAGTTATCTTGGGCCTCCATGAGGTCATGTTTGAGCTGTGAAAGCAACGTGACGGCCCGTTGTTCTTCTGGCACGGTAGTCACCTGTGACTCTTTCTCCTCCGTAATGGGGGGCAGAACGCGCGGTGATCGTCCAAGATGCAGTTGAAAGGGTGAGAAACCAGTACTGGAGTTAACGGAATTCATGATGTGAAAGCGCACGCGCGCCAGCGCGCGCACCCAGCCCTTGTGATTTCGGTCGACGTAGTATCGTAAACATTGGTTTACTGTCTTATTGGTACGCTCGCTCGCACCATCGGTTTCTGGATGATACGCCGAGGACATCTTTAACTTAATACCAGTCAGTTTATGCAACACCCGCCAAAATTTAGACAAAAAGATCTTATCGCGGTCGGAAACAATTTCCTTTGGCAGTCCGTTTTCACAGTACCAGTTGTCGAAAAAGAGCGCTGCAAAATGTTCTGCGCTAATATTGTCCTTGCACGGTACGAGCCTAATATCAGCATTTAAGCAGTCAGTCATCGTAATTAGCATGTTAAACCCGCAGTCGTCTGGAAGCGGACCAATGAAATCGATAGCTACCGAGTCTCCACGATCTTCAGGAATCGGGAGAGGATGCAGAGGGCCAGCTGTCGCGGTTGTCTTCGATTTGTTTCTCATACATTCAGCGCAGGAAGGAAGGTAAGACTCCACCAGTTCTTTCCTCATATTAGGCCAGTAATATGACCCTCGCAGGAGCGCGTAAGATTTATCCGCGCCGAAGTGTCCAGCCGCATCATGAGCAGTGTGAAACAACAGCTCACATAGATTGTCCACTCTCGGTACCACCAAGCGGTTCCCGATATAGAACAGTCCTCCTTCTCCTTTTCTCAGTCCTGGCAACGAGTCTATCAGGCCATGTAGTCTCCGACACCACGGGTCTTCTCCGTAGCCCTTGACAATCCTCTCACGTAAACCAGGCTCGTTCTGAATTGTCAATACAGCTGCGCACATATCACCTTCACTTCGCCGTGACAACGCATCCGCGGCTGCATTGTCTTCGCCTTTGATGTAGTGTATGGTCAAGTCGTACTGCGACATGTATTCGGCCCACCGCGCTTGCCTTCGAGAGAGATCCCGTTGTGTTGCGAAGTTCTGTAGCGTACAGTGGTCAGTGTAGACCTCGATGTGCGCACCTAGTAACTCCAGTCTCCACTTCTTCAGTGCGTGTATGATAGCAAGCAACTCCTTTTCATGTACGGGATAGTTAGGTTCCGCAGTCCTTAATTGCGTTGAATCAAATGCCACTGGTCGTGCTGATTCGCGCGTCGGTCCCCAGGATAGCATTGCGCCAGTTGCGTAGTCCGACGCGTCGCAAGTCAAGTATATTTTGTTGTCCCCTGGATTGTCGTGGTCAATTGTTGTGAGGCACTTCGGACTCACCACAAGCTGTTTGATGGCCACGAAGGCATCTTCGTGTGTCTTGGACCACTGTGGGAATTTCAGTTCTGCAGCCTTTGTCGTGAGGGCGTTGAGGATTCTGGCGTGTTTGGCGACGTTTGGCAGGTGTTCCGCCAAATACCGTACCATTCCTAGGAACGATCGAACTTCGGTGGCCTTCTTTGGTCGAGGCCAATCTAGAATCCGGGCCACCTTTGATCTGTCTGCTTCGATTCTGCATGCCG